ACAACCCGTCCCCTCCCCAAACCAGAATTTTATTGCAGATTCGGGGACCTCTTGCCGAGCACAGGAGGACCCCGCCTTCAAAAAAATAAAAAATAAAATTCTGGGCTGTTTTTTTTGCCCGCCCGGTTTGCCCGGGCGGCCCACCCGGCCCCGTCCGGCCGGGCGGCGTCCGTACTCAGGTTGCAACTCATTTTTGTGTTTCCGTAATTGGTACATGTAACAAGTCTTCTGGATCCCGTGCAGCGCAAAATGTCCCCTCACCGTATTTGTGTGGCTGAAAGCCCGCACGGGGACGCTGCTGCCCATTATGTCAAGATGTTTGAATTGAGTACAGATTACAGTGATTACTACAGAAACTAGTTGATTCATTTGCGGCCATAGAGTTGAAATCAAATCCAGCCAGGAATTGGGCTGCCTCAGTTGGTACACCCCTAAACTCTTGAAATATCGACCCAGGTTCGAATTCACAATCAGATGACCGGAATAAAATCACTCTGAATTACCTTGGGCTGGTCAATTCAATGACATCTCAAGGCCGTCGCACGCCCTTTAAAAGAAGAAGAAAAAAATTGACGACTTGGATGTATCGCAAGTCTCTTCTCTATTCAGAAACTTGAGTGGAGAACGCTGTGGTGTGTTGGTAATGGATCACTCAATGTGCTGGAAGCTTTGCTTGGCCTGCTCTTTTGACAGAAGATTTTACAGGCGACCTCCATGCAATATGGAAGTGTGTCCCAGACACTGAATGGGGATTGATCTAGCAAACAGAACATTGGGTAAGAGGTGGACTTGACAAAGCTGGTTCGCAGCAACTACTGTTAACACATCGTAACTTTGGTAAATGCATGGTCTGCAACTGGTCATAAATATCAGAGTATGTGACCTTAAACCACCAGTACTTGGCCCAGCTATTGGCCGCGGAAAAAAATAGAGTAGAAACGTTTCTAGTCGGATGAATTTGGGAGTTCCTGTAGTGTTAACAGGCACGACTCTAGGAAGCACTGGTGGTTTAACCTGGATTGAATGCAGGAGGAGACGGGATCTCTGGGGGACGAAAGGGGTTGAATCAGTATTGGGAGAATGAGCCGTGAGGGAGAAGGGACGTTGTTCAAAGTATCAACAGAAGACAAGGAGAGAGGACAAAAAGAATGAAGGACACTTGGGGCTAATGATGCTGTGCTAAAAGCAGACTTTCATCCCAACAGTGAAGAAGATGAATGCGGGTATGGTCTTGAAACTGCTCAACGGCCTGGTATGAAGGAATCAGAAAAAACTTGCAAATAGTCTCTGTAACCTTGAGTGAGTATTAACCTGATCTGGGAATCTGCGGTTGTTGATTGGCTTCTGTGGGGTGGGAAAGGGAAAATTGTTTGCTGGGCACATTTTTGGTGGTCTTTGTCTTTTTCTGCCCTGTAGATATGTGCCGACGCACTTGCATCACATGATTTTCGAGTTGGTGAAGAACTCTCTCCGTGCTGTACAGGAGCGTTTTGCACATCTGGATGTTGACCCTCCTCCAATTAGAGTTGTTGTGGCTGACGGCCTGGAGGATGTGACGATCAAGGTAATGATTCATCTGTCATTTTTCCTGAAGTCAGAGAATGATTCCTCGTATTACGAGCTACTCAGCTACCACTATATCTGTGTCTTATTGGAGTCTTAAACCACCACTACCTTTCCAAGCTGTAGTCCCATTTGGGAAAATGACGTCAACCATGAAGTTCGGGGGTCCGGGCGAGGGATGGCAAAAACAAACCATTTGGGCCTTGTGGGCCCGATCAGAGAAAAAATAAAATAAAAAAAATGCAGAGTTGAAAGGAAGGACGTCATACCCCACTGACTGGTGGTCGCTGGCCACCAGCCATTGGAAATGTTTTGAGACCCCACTGCCGGCGGCGAACGCAAGCACTTTTGTTTCCACTCTGCCCACCTCCGCTTTTATAGCACACCAACCAGCCATCCCGTGCGGAAAGGAGGCACGGCGATTGGTTGGTGTGCAGGAAAAGCGGAGGCAAACTTGCCCGAAAAGGCAAGTCTGCCTTATCGGGTAACAGAGACCTCGGGAAGTGCCGAAAATTGCTGTGGCAGTGGGGTCCCATTTCGCTTGCCCGTTCCCATCGGCTACGATTTGTGCTGGCGGATGCTTTCCTGGCCGCCAGCTACCGCCAGCCAGTAGGGTCCCAGCCTTAGTTTTAGTGCCCTGCCCACAAGGCAGGGCGTTTTCCACTGGGTTTACGTCCAAAGAGTCGTTGCTGTTCTTACTTTTTTTTTTTTTTTCGTACAGCCGTGTGTGCTGAGGGCTGTAATGCATGTTGGTAGGGCATATTGCCATATTCTCATCTGTGCCCAATGTTATGTATCCAGCTGCTTTCACGTCCAAAGAGTTGTTGCATTTTTTTTGTTTTTTTTGTTTTTCCTATGTCCGTATTTCGCTGAGGGCAGAAACGCCCTTTGGCAGACTCTCACATGTACCCAATGTTCTGTATACGTCTTTTCTTTGTTCCTTTTCTTTGGTGGTGCTTTTTTTTTGTTTCTTTTCCCGAAGGGTACCAGAAAAGAGAATGCAAGGGGACCCAGGCTCGGCAAAACTCGGTGTGCAGTGAAATTCAGGGTCGGCAAAAACAGGCTCGGGGGTAGTGGTGGTTTAACTGGGGTCTTGCATGTTGCTCTTCCATGAAACCCAGGACCACTTGCGGAACGGACCAGTTCCGGGCGGTTTCGGTTCCTTTTGGTGGCGCAGTGCGTTTTCTTTCTTTTTGGGTTTTGTCGACTGCTTTTTCTCTTTTTGGATGGCGGTCCTGTCGGGTGATGATTTGCTCCTGATAGGAGCAAAACGGAAGGGGCCGAGCACAGAGGAGTGTCAAAAGGAGGTGGTGAGGCTGGGTGAACATTCTTCGGGACGGGAGGAAAACAACGGGCGCCAGAGGGTGCCATGCGCGGAGGAAGGGGGGCAAAAGGGGGGAGCAGGTTGCACTTAGCACTGCACTTGTGGCGTCATGCATGTTAGGCCTCGTCACCTATTATGGGGCACTCGTATCTTTGTGTGTGTTTGCAAGGCAAGAAGGTGGTGATGTCACTTCTGACTGCAACAGACTCCAGATTATCTTCAACCGGAATTGGAGGTGGGGAAAAGAGGGGGGGGGG